TTTTTTTCTCAGAATGTACCAAACTGTTGATTTGGCCACTCCTAATGTTCCTGCTATCTCTCTGATGGATTTGTTTTGATTTTGAAGCCTAACAATTGTCTGTTTCACCTGCATGACGAGATCCTTTGACCGCATGATGTGGTTCACAGCAATAGCTTCCAAATGCAAATGGCACACTTAGAATCAACTCCAGACATTTTACCTGCTTAATTCATTTAGAAATAACGAAGGAATAGCCCACATCTGTCCATGAAAAGGCTTTTGAGTCAACTGTCAAGACTGGTCATAACTTTTTTAATTCAGTTATGAAAAGGTAGATTGTTCTTATTTGTATTGGAAAAGTAAGACTGATTACCTCTTGGCAACTGCTAGTTGGTCAAACTAGTTCTTAAGACACAGTCTTAACATGGTGGCTAAGTTTATGCAACTGGCCCCAGATCTTCTTGAATCTAACTGGCGAAAACTATGTCATTATTGTTGCACATCTGGGAAACTCAAAGCCATATCATATACATATTTTGAGGTTATGAACACCTATATGTCTTACCCTTATTTCGTCTTTGGCAAATGAAGTAAAAGGCAACAGCCATTGTGATCACCACGATAATAGCACCGATGATGGCTAAAATAACTGGTAGAATGATATTCTCATCTGTTTGTGGAATACATAATTACAAGAATATAACAACAAATAATCGTAACTCAGATTCATCATAAACGCTGTACTTCAACCAGCAGTTATTGTAATGTGCATGAAGTTGACCTGTGAGGCAGTCTTTCAAAGCAAAACTGGTGCTCTTTAGGCTAACTTCATTTTTCACAGTGCAAGTAAAGACTGAATCAGGCTTCTCCTCCTTGCTGATATGAAGTTCTTGCCCAGAGTGTTGTATCGAATTTGATCCAGTCCATTCAAAGGTTGTTTGGAACTGAGATGAAACTGAGCAGAATAGTGTTTTTGATTCTGTAATATTGTTCAGTATACAGGTCACATTAGGCTCCTGCACAGCATCTGATGGAAACATGGAGAATAGGGGGAAAATACTTTTTTATAAAACACGCTCAAGCTAAATAACATAGCTACAAGATGGTGAAATGTTTGAAACATATACCAACTAGACTTCCTGGGCTTAAGATGGTTAATGATATTTATTTAGCGTAAAATTCTCAGAAATACCCATTATGTTTTGTTGCATTCTTTTGTCATACATAGAAGTCCAGCTTGATATTATTATTATTATTAATAGAAGTAGTAGTAATACTATTATTAGTATTATTGTTTTTGCTTATTTTGCATTGGTTAAAAAAGTGACTTCTTGGAAAGTCTAGAAATACTTTTATTGTTTAAACCATGTTTATACCATCACAGTGTGATTCATTACATTCATCAACAGAATATGGCAGCATCTCAGGCTCTTGAAAAACCAGCATAGTTGGTACAGTATTTCGTATGCTAGTGTCCTTATCTAGCTTAACCAGCAGGATTTTCTTGGTTACCCAGCTTCCCCAGCTGTGCTTTAATGGCGAGCAGCATGATTATGCAGATATGCCAGCCAGGCCAACATTACTAACCAACAATATTGGTGTCTTTTTTCATTCTCCATTGCAAAAAGTCACTTACCAATCACTTGAACTTCATTTTCAGAATTTTGCAGCTTTCCATCGATCTGTATTGCAGACCTATAAATCCCACTGTCCTGGCTGGTCATGCGAAGAACAGAGAGCTGCCCAGTAGTGATTTGAATCTCTGATCTTCCTCTGAATTGACCATACTCTTGAAATTCGTTCAAATCATGTTCAGCCACCTTGTTTCCATTGAATGTCCACAAAATGTCTTCAGGATTTCCTTGTACATTTGGATTTAAAGTCACACTCTTCCCATTCTCAACATAGATGATAGAAGTTACAGCATCTGAATAACATTTATAAGATCATGGTGCAAGGTTAAGCATCTAAAACATACTCATCTAAAACATCTAAAAAAGTTAACAACACAAGTTTGTTACAATGAAAACGATAACCTCAATGCAATCGTGTATTAGCTTGTTTCCTAACAGGTCCTAAATAAAATTCTGGCTGCTACTTCAGCCTTGTCTTTAACATTAGGATACTTCAGCAAAGAAATTGATTTGTGGATACAGTCTAATTCAATGTTTGCTTAACCTGTACATGTTCTGAAGCGCTTGAGGAAGCACTTGTTATGCTACCCATAACGATTATAAGAGATTATTGAAAATAACTCAACTTTCAATATCATCTAAAATATGATGCAAAAAAACTATGGTCAATTATAAACAACATTACTTACTGAATCTTGATAATATTACACAGACGAAAAGATTAAATACTTCCCCGAGCGTTTTCATTTTCTTTCACTTTCGTACTGTCTCAGCTGTTTCAGGTAAAACTGGTCCACCCACCCACCTTCAGAGAATCTGTAGTGAGACTCTAGCATTGAGTGGCTTTTGTGCATTTGCATCAGTCTGAAACTGTTTTTAAAACCTGAATGGGTAGGCTATATGTAGACGGGCCTGTGACAGTTTTACCTCTGACTGCATTATTGTAAGTTGCCACACCTGAACCTCCTCAAAGGAAAAGGTATGTCATTCATATTTAAATAACGACCTGTTTATCCAGTCACACTAAGCTCCACCCCAGCTGTTAAAGGGATAGTTCACTCAAAAATGAAAATTCTGTTATTACTCAACCTTAAATTGTTCCAAACCTGTATGAGTTTATTTCCTCTGTTGAACACAAAAGAAGATATTTTGGAGAATATGTGTAACCAAGCAGTTGATGGTCCCCACTGACACCTATTGTCCCTTCCATTACATTGTGACTTTAAACATTACATAACATGAACAAACATTCATAAACATTAAGACAACAGGGCCAACATCAAAGTTGGAAGGAAAATTCATTTACATTGTGTACAAATATGCAAATGTATTTACATGGCGTACAAATCTGATGTCAATAGAAGTCTAGGCCCTATAGCAGTCACAGACTCAAATCTGTTTGCATTATGGGAGAATTTCTAGAATTATGAACATTCAGCTACAGCTTTACAAACATCATTCATGTGTGGTAGCAGATCAGACAAGTTATATTTCTAAAGCAAAGGCTCAAAATGTATCACAAACATAAACCTAGCATTACTATTTTTTGTTGGTTTGGTGTGTGTATAAGTGGATTACATGGTAAATGCAAAATTATGTGAATTTTTGTATTTTTTAAAAGCCTTTTAAAGACATAACCTACTGTAATAGACCTTGTCAGGGTAGCACAATATAAGAAAGAGTCCAAAAAATATATTGTATAAAAGTGTATAATGAAAATAACTTTGTAAAGACTGTAAGTCTATTCCTCCCAGCCTCATCCATCATTCATCAAAGTAAAATTCAATATGGCGTCTATCTACCCTGACTTAGGTCTATACAGGGGTTGGCAAGTTTTTTTGTCAACATTGAAACCTAATAATTCTTGTTATCCCAGCATAACATTATCAGTCACAGACTTGATTAATTGATTTGCAGACTGACAAATTAATAAAGCACAATTTAAAATATTTCTGAAGCAATTGTCAGACTATTTAAATGTGTTTTAAACATTTCAATCCTAAAAGTAGTTTATTTTCAGGCTTAAGCTAGACTTTGAATAACAGATTTCGAATTTTCTCTCTTGATGTTGTAGTTCACCCATCACTGGCATTGTCATTATGTGGAATTTTAAAGAAACTGAGCTGAAAAAACTTCAACACTGATAGCATAACTTATTTTGCTCTCAAAGCTAAGAGTATCAAATACAACAAAACTGTAAGCTGCCATCCACTCAGTTGTGCAGCACAACTGAAGAAAAATGTACTTGTCTGAAAGCACAGAGCTAGCTGCTACTTTAACCTGCACTGCAGTTTCAGTGGTTTGTGATATGCAGTGGTTGCACACATGGTTTATCAGAGCTGCTGTTTACAGGCACAAGTTAATTCTCATACATTAATAGTATTTATAGCTTCTAACATAGTAAAACAGGCTGTTTGGCTATGAAAAAAAAAAGATAAACTGAAAGTATAGATTGTCATTCAGCTGTGAGGGACTTTAAATTAAATACATTCATCTGTCTTGCTCATGTGCCAATGTAACATGTAACTTTTTTTAGATTTTGCATGTAACTTTGCAGTCAACAGAAAACTAGGAAACGTATAGGCCTATTGTACAGTAATATTTTTCCAAGTTTCTTAAAAGTGAAATGATTACTGTGTGAATGTATGTAATCATATAATTGATAAAAAAGTAACTGCAATCTGATCATGAGCATTTTAAAACAACAATCTAATCGCAAGTAGGCACGAGAGTAAGGCCATTTTTTTCAGCCCACAGACAGTCTTTCTTCTTCTTCAGTTCAGGTTTCTTCTTGTGGCCCTTTCTCAACAACAATAGTATGACCAATACAAGAAAGCAAATCAGAGGAATAGCGATTGCCAATGTTATTCCCAATGGGTCTATCTGTTTTTCAGAATCACCTGAGGAAACAAATCAAATGTTAGATTGTTGCTTTCTGAAAGGAAAATATATTTTATTGTTATAAAATAACATTCATAGTTTTGTATATGCATTTGATTTAATGGTTGAATGTGCTGTCAGCTTTTTGTTTGTTTGTTTTTTATATCACACATGAATTATCCATACATGACAGATATCACTAAAATAGACTCTGGAAACAGCAAAAAAAAAAAAATTATTTAGGGAGGCCCTTAGACAAACCACCTAATCAGAAAATGATTATCTGTACTTTTTACATATTTGGCCATTGAGTCAAGGCTTGATTGGATTGATACAGCAGCATTGTGCATATATGTATATTATTTGGCCAAACAGTATGTATGTATATATTTTCTTGCAAGCTAAATAAAATTGCATTTTTTTTACTGGTGCAGGAAGGCTTCTAAAAGCATGAGATGGACATATTTAACCTAACCATAACCTACTCTTAAAATTAAAGGGAGGTTGATATGAATGGTATACAGGCCCCTATGCCTAACCCAAGCCTGACCCAAAAATTAGACCTCACCCTAAAATCGGATTGGTTGTTAGGGATGTTGTTCCAGGAACATGTCCTACTTTGTGAAATTATGGTTAGCGTATGGTTGAAGGGATGTGAGCAGACTAATTTAGTGACTAAAGCCTAGTGGAAATGATTAAAATAGTTAAAAACGCTTAGAACATCTTACCTTCAGTGTGAACATAGATGGAGAGCTCTCCAGATTTATCTGAAGCAAATTTCTTCCAGGTGTTAGCAGTTAGAAGCCACTCCTCAACCTGACAGTAGTATTGCCCCATATCAGTGGGGTTGCTCTGTGGCACAGTCAGTTTATAGTGTGTGGCAAGTGGTCGGCCAAACAGAAGATTTTTATCGCTAATTGCACTGTGTAAAGTACCGTCACGCCTGGCAGTGAACATGGAGACTGGTCCTTCTTCCTCCTGAACCTTGAACCAGGTGACCTCAAAGACAGACTTATCACTGGATTGTGAGTCAATGACACAGTCAATGGTGAATGCAGTCTGATGATTGGTAATGTTGAATGTTCGGTTCTCCTTCTGAACATGCAGTTTAATTTCTGTTTAAATTAAACACAACATCAAAGGTCAAACAAGAAAAACACTTTTTCATCAAGGGGCAATATTTGCCCTTTAAATTGATTTTTAGGGGCATTTTTGTATGCATCCCCTTTTCATGTAAATTCTTACATTTTTTCAATAAATGCAATTAGATTAATAAGACACAGGGCTGTTACCAATCATATGATATATGATATCAGTATCACCAAAAACATCTTTGCACTGTAGAGGTGTAAATGTATTTACATAGACTTTTTAATGGAGCTCAGAGATGCCATGAATTTAATGTTTTAAATATCAATTGAATATAGAAATACTTAATGGGGGGAAAATAATTATACTTTAAATATTAAACTAAAACCACCAGTAGGTGGTAGCAAGCCAATGATTCATTTATTCAATCCATTCAAAATGGCTGATTCACTCAGAAACTAAGCACATAACTGTCTTCATGAATGAGTCATTGAATCATTGACTCACTTGATACATTCAAAAATGTTGAATAATTCAGGAAAGAAAAAGCTGTGTTTATGGGAGAAGCAATGGTTCTCTTATGACTCTGTTTGAAACTATTTTTCTTGGATAAAGCAAAAACAGTTGATACTAACAATTTTGTGTCTAAAATGGACATCACTTAATATTAACGTAAATCAGCCTTATTTGCAATGAATGAATTTTATTTTTTTAAATACCATTGTATAAAGTAGAAAATGTTAATGATCTTATGAGGAGGACAAATGAGCTAAAGGCTGTGCTGGTAGGCCAATATAGTATTTCAAAACGGGACTACTACCAGACAGATGGCCACACTAATCAGCATCAAAAGTTAAGCCTGATTGGGCATGTTCCATTTGTTTCCACTGGCCCTCACAATCAAGTTGGTATTGCTTAACTCTGCACTGGTAGCTTCCATTATCACCTATATCAGAGTTTAATACAACCAGATGGAAAGTATCAGGTGTAGGTCTTCAGAAGTCTAACCTGTGCTTGTTGCTGGTTCTCTGTGTGTAGACAACTGTTATAAGAGTATGACAATACATATATCCCATTAACAGATTATGGGCTATTAAATACCCATCTGAAACTGTAGTGATGGGTAGGATCCTTCTTTTCAACATCCAAAGAGCATGTAAGACCATTTCTAATAATTTGGCACATGCATTTTTACTCAATTTGGAAGATTGTTCCTTTTCTTTCTCTTGGACACTCTTATATTTGTCATTGACCATTGATTAAAGAAAAGCAAGGATTAAAAAAGAAAAAAAAAATCTGTATTTTAATCAATGTAAAACATATTTATGTTTAGAATATTGTGGTTCACTTAAAAGACCATTTCAGTGAAGTAAAATCTTCTTACCTTTCTCTTTGACAACCAGCTCTTTGGAAACAGACATTTTCTTTAGGGAATACCAGTCACCAAGAGGATCCTGAAGCCACTCTTCCACCTCACAATGATATTGCCCACTATCAGATGTTCTGACCTGGTGGATAGTCAGCTGGAAGTCCTGTTTCTGTCTTATTTCCATACGGATCCTCTGGTCCATCTCTAGGCCGGCTGCAGGGCCAAACTTGACAACAGCATCTAGGTCCATAGTTAACAGCATCTGGGACCCAAACATCCATGTTATCGTGAAACGAGAGGTATCTGTGGTTGTCCTCGTGACTGAGCATTCAAGCTTAACATCAGTATTGACAGTGGTTTCCAGACGAGAAGTGGGTGAGTAGTACAGACTCATCTTGCTGACTGAGAGAGAGACAGAGTGATATTCAATAAACTACAGTTTATTACAGTTACTACTGTAGTAGTCTATAGGTATGTATGTTAGCATTGTGTGTGTGTCACATTAATGCTCATTTGTGTTTCTGTTTGTGGTGCCATGGTATAGTTTCCAATTATGTTGTCATTTTGATAGACCTGGTATCAATTTTCTAAATCACAATTTTCTCTCATGTGTACCAAATGTCAAAATTTCTCATTTTTTAACACTATTTTTATAGCATTGTATAACAATAGTAAAGTCTCTAGAACTACGTGTATTTACTAATAACAGTAATAACAGTGAAGTATGCATTATTACAAGTGATTATAACACTAAATCAAACCTTAACCCTAGCCTATAGTAAGTTCATGTTGTTAATTAGTATTACACAGTACTTATCTGTGCAATTATATGTAACAAGGACACATACGAATAAAATACAATGTGACCAGATTGGGTTAGTGGTAAGTTTAACAGTTTTTGGGGATAGGGTACTGAGTATAAAGAGTAGAGTATGTCAAAATATTTGAAGGTGAATGTATCTTTTCAACATAATACACTTTGAATAAAAGACTGTATTTACCAGGTTTGTGTACAATCACAGCTAATGGGTTGGAGTTCTTCAAGGCTTTCTGTACATCCTTTTGATAGGCATCAACTTGACACTGGTACTGTCCTTCTTGTTGCTTGCTGGCTCTCGGCACCATGAGAGTGAAATGAGTGTCTGACGGCTGTTGAATGGACAGCTGATAGTTTCTCTGATCTGCTCTCCAGGTGATTTCTCCAGTGTGGCGTATGGATAAAATATTTGTTTGAACGGTTGAATTGCGGGGCTGAAACATCCAGCGTACAGCCAAAGACACTTTAGGCCCTCTGACTGTGCATAGCAGTTCTACTGGAGAATCTATTGGCACATTTGTTGTACGACTTTTCAAGCTCACCTTCATTAGAGATTCTGAAAAGAAATGTCTGCAGTGATTATTTAAATTATAATATCAATAACAGTACAAATTTGAGCAAAGTAATGACAAAGAATTTACGGCAGAAAGTCTTGACAGTTTTCTCTGTTACTGAGAATAATGTGTGATAGTAATCTTACCAACAGAATTAACTATTATGGCTTTTTGTTGAGATTTGGTGTTGGCTTTCTTCATCTCGCCATTGCTCTGTACTGTCCATTCAGACACAATGCACTTATATTCGCCGCTGTCAGATGTTGCAGATGCACCGAGCTCTAGAATAAAGTTTCCAGCTGGAGAATGAAATGTTTGAACATTTCTGCTCTGATACCTTGCCCCAACATCTCTCATCACTCCCTCATGGGTCAGACTAATGACATCACTGAAGGAAGCCCCCGAGTCTTTCTTGTGTTGCCATGACACTGATAAAGGACCTTTGAATCCCGACACTGAGCAGGAGACCCGTAGTGCATCTCCCTCAGTCACCGCGTCCTTCATCTCCATGACCACCGCAAGATCACTCTCTGACCAGACAGGCAAAAAGCAGGCAATATTAATGTCGTGTAATGCAAGCATTCCTTGTGAAAACTGTGACTAGATTATGTACCACAAAAAATACAAACCATTTTTTTTTTCTAGCCATAGTATTCAACTAGTCTTGCACCCTTCTATCATATTCACCGGCCCCAGAAAATAATTTAATTCTTTTCATTTTAGCTGCATATTTTAATATTTCCTATAAAATAAAATGTACTGTAATTTCTCATTACATGGTTAATGTTGTATTGTACTTTCTTTTTTTCTTAACAATTTTTTTTTTCCCCGAACACCCTAGCAATTCCATAGCAATGCAGTGATTCAGAACACTTTAGCAAACTCTACAATGACTGTATAGAAGAAACAGTTGTGTCATTAATTACCTTTAGCCGTGATGCTCACAGTCTCTGGACTGGACATTTGTTTTTGTATTTTTTTGAAGGTGCCATCTTCATTCATGTTTTCCTGCCATACTTCACACTGGTATTGGCCCTGGTCCTCAGCCCGAGCCGAACGGATGGTCAGCAGGTAGTCCGTGTGACTGGTTTTCACTGCTCTCATCTCTGCTGCATTCTCTCGCTCTTTGTAACTGTCAAACATAGTGAGCACCCCAGAAGATCCAATATGGGCCACTTTCTGCTGGTTCTTCAGCCAAGTCACCGAGAAGAAATGACCAGGAAGGTTCTGTGCATTCACACCGCAGCGGATGTCCAGTGCGTCTCCCTCCTGTAGTGGCCCCTTTGAAGCCTTCAAATAAACACTGAACGAGCCTGCATCAGGGGCCACTTTTGAGACACAGGAAACAGCATGAGATTAAGCAGGTTCTCTTACACAACTTCCTGTGTATGACTGCACTCATACTCACTCAGGCATTACAACAGGTTCTGACTTATATAGTTTGTATCAGTGTTTCTCAACGGGTACAACTCAACTGGTGATGGATACACAGACAACAGGGGAAAATAAGAATAAATGCCAATAACAGAATGCAACTAACAATATAATCATGCATAGTAAAGACAGGAATATGATTAGTCTTATCAACTTTTAAATAGGAGGGAAAACACTTCCCATAACTAGTTCTTGTAAAAGCTGTGCTTCCAACCAAACTCTGCAGTATAACAAGTCTGACACAAATTATTTGGTAAAAGCTAGAAATGCTAACATGGTTAGGCTGTGTGGCCTTCATCCTCAAAAATATATGACCCAGAAAACATTAAATACGGGTTCAAGGATGGTAGAAAGCATGAAACTATCAAAATTTAAGAGACATTTAGAAAAATTGGCATAAATTAGAATAAATATCAATGTTTGAGTCTAAGGGCTTTTTTTTTTTTACTTTTGCAGACTGAACTGTGTTGAGTCACTAAGTGTAAAATCTAAAAGAGCCTCTGGTTTAAATGACAGAATATAAATCTCACCGATTCGTTTGATCTCCACATCGCATGCTGTGGTGGTTTTGTGGGCAATCTGTGTCCAGGAACGGTCTGGGTCTTGGATCCACTCAATGGCTTTGCAGAAGAACTTCCCCTGGTCTGACTGCTGCACTTGAGGCATCTTCAGTCTGTAGGTTGTGTCCTCCACCTTATCCATGCTGATAAGACCAGCACGATAGCCATCCTCAAATCCAGCTCCTGGCTTTACAGTCAGATCTTTGTCCAGAGTAATGATTGGCCGGGGGATTTCATCCTCTTCACCATGAAGAAACCAGGTGACCGACAGATGAGTATGTTGAAAAGTCTGGCTGGAGACCTGGCACTCAAGCTGAAGAGGATCACCTTCAGACAAGCTCTGAGAGGGAGAGCCAGAGTATGATGCCTCCAGGGTGTCTGCAATCACTGTGGATAAAACAGTCTTTTTTTCCTTTTTTTTGTCATTGAAAATGTATTAACAAAGTGACAAAAAGTGATTGACCAATATGCATTTTTCAATGCCAATACCAGCATCTAGAGAACTGATATCAGCTGATACTACATCAGTGACTGATGGCTGATGCAGTAGTGTTTAATATAAATATAGCTTATAGCCAATCACCTTCTTTTGGGATACATGGGAATGTGAATGGGTGTTAAAGGATGGATTTCTCTTTCAATAATCTCAAAATGCCAAATCATCTCATTAATCACCCAAACCCTCAAAATAAATAAATATCTTACCATTAAGCTTTGTTTCTGCAGCATAATTTCCGTAATATGCACCACCTGTGTGTAGGGTCTCACAGAGCAAATCACCTGCATCATTCTCCAGCAAATTGTTTTTCAATGCCAATACCAGCATCTAGAGAACTGATATCAGCTGATACTACATCAGTGACTGATGGCTGATGCAGTAGTGTTTAATATAAATATAGCTTATAGCCAATCACCTTCTTTTGGGATACATGGGAATGTGAATGGGTGTTAAAGGATGGATTTCTCTTTCAATAATCTCAAAATGCCAGATCATCTCATTAATCACCCAAACCCTCAAAATAAATAAATATCTTACCATTAAGCTTTGTTTCTGCAGCATAATCTCCGTAATATGCACCACCTGTGTGTAGGGTCTCACAGAGCAAATCACCTGCATCATTCTCCAGCAAATTTTTGATTGTCAAGAGAACTGAAGATCCTGACAGCCTTTGAATATACATCTCTTTATTTCTTATTCTACCGGAGAACATTCCGTAGGCAAAGTCTGGGTCACTGGTACTGATCATATTTAATTCCACATTTGGTTTCTTGAGAATGAACTGAAAATCCCGGTTAGATGGGCCTGTAAACCCTGTAACATTACAGGATATGGAGATGGGATATCCTTTCACTCTATACAGAGGACCTTCCTGGATCTGGACCTGAATCTGACCACTGCACAGATCTGTGTGGAGAGAGGAATTAGATCATTAAAGCAAACCTTTAAGAGAAATTTCACTTTGATTTGCTAATGTTTTTGCATTTTTTCTCACTCACATGCACATTGTGTTTACTATACCTTTGCCTATATTTTTGTCCATTTCTAGGTGTTGCTGATTATCAATAAATTTCAGCTTTTCATTATTACTGTTGCCTGCAAATCTTCCCACATAGTGATGTAGATATGTGGGGGCGTGTTAGAACGAGCCGTTTTAGGTAGGTGTGGCTGACTCTGAACTTTTATAAAGAATATCTCTTTGGATTTGAGACTTTAGTCTTTGCAACTTTACAGATCTTCTTTATGCACCAAGAGCTTGTAACACTCCAAAGAGAAAGGAACAATTGAAATCGCATCATATGACCCCTTTAACATTTTAACCCAGCAGTAGATATTTTTAAACATTTTTAAACCGTAAAAGAAAAAAAGCCCAGCATGCTGGGTCAAACATTTAACCCAACCCTGGGGTCAAAGGGTCAAAACAACTCAGAACTGCATCTCTTGTTGCCAAAACACATTTTTCACACAACTCTGACAGAAATTTTGTCATGCCAATGCTATAATTTGATTGGTTATCAAGGCACACGTGATCCAAGTTCGTCATTTTCTCCAATGGTAGAACCACTGAGGTTTGTATGTCCACATAAGATGACCATTGTTGCATCCCAAATTGCATACTATCTGTTAAATAGTATTCAAAATTAGAATTAGTGTGGCCCAAATTGTAGTATGTTAAAATTAGTATTACAAACGTTCACAAATGTTCTAATATTTCTGGTGGAAATTCAAAATGCACACCCATGCATACTCTAACAGATAAAATTACTCACAAGAACTGTAACTGAGATCTACAAACATGGAGAGGAAAAAAGGCAGTTATAGACCAACAGTTAAGTAGAGCGGTTTAGTGGTAATTAATGAGTAATTAATAATTAATATCAAACTTGCTGATATTTGGCCATTAGCTTTTTAAATACATCATTATGCAAAAACATGAGTTCTCCGCATGAAGACCCACGACTAGCAGATCAAAAGTCAGTAGTATGCACCTTTTTTCACAAAAAAAAATAGTACATAGGGCATAGTATAAGTAGTATAAATAGGGTTCTCAGAAGCAGAAGTGTCATAGTTGGGTAAACTTCTATAGTGGTGAATGGTAACTACAAATGTGTATGTGTGTGCACATTGCATTCCCATTTGCACCAGAAGCAAAAGAAAAATCGCATTTCTATGACTTTCCAAGAGAGAGAGAAAATCAAGATATTTATTACTGTGGTCAGAAGAGATATTTTGCCATTTTTACAAACACCCACAAAACAGTTTTAACTAGTTTTCTGAAATTTAATGCCAAGGTGAAACTATATCACAAAGTACAGTATTGTAAATTAATTATAAAAAAAATTCGTAACAGTTTATTTTACAGTGTCCTTGTTACACATTACATCTACTTATAGTAACAACACTAAATTCAATAATTGCATTTAATAAACCTAAACCAAACCCTAATCCTAACCATAACACTATAGTAAATGTTGTTAATTAATATTACTCAGCACTTCAATGTACAATTACACTGTAACAAGAACAGCATACAATAAATTGTAACCAAACGTTAGATTTAAGATGTAGAAACGATTCTGTGAAAAGGGAAGCTGCACATATCTGACAAGAATACATAGCAAACTGACTGTACTAAAAATTAAATAGAGGGATATTAGTTTTGTAGTAGGTACTGTCATATTTGAAGTCTTCGTTTTATTGTGTAGTGTTGCCAGAACTGTTGTTTTGTTTACAGATTACAAAAAAAAAAAAAAGATGTACCCTTTCATAAGCTAGGCTGTAGCTATTAATTTACCGTTTGTGTACTAATATGTACACTTTTGGTACTAGGCCTATGTATCTTTAAGGTAACCCTTTAGGGGTTAATAAGATACAAAGGTGTAGGCTACCTTTTGGAAAGGGTACCGCCCCAGTGACGGCTTTTGTACCCTTTTTGAGTGTAGTCTATAATAAACTGGCAAGATTTGATTATTTTAAGACTTTTTTTTCCTCAACTCAAATTAATATTTCACGCCCAGGTAATTATTTATTTGGTGAAAGCCGTGTCCCTTAAAATTTCGTCGTTTCACATGTTCGTTTGTATGGCCTCACCGCTTGCAACTACTTCACGGAAGCTTCGCGTCGAGCTCTGATCTGACCCTGCCCGGGTTTATTTAGCCATAACAACCATTTTACGTTGTTACGACATTATGATTAACGTAAATAACACTTAAATGGCACAAAGCTATTGTTTCGCGTCAGAATATATTTTACAAGGCGTATAAACCACTTATTTAACTTTTATGGTATCAATTTGTCAGTTTTGGAGCCTAACAGTCGTGAAAGTCGTTCACTGAAAATCGTTCAGCAGCTTGTTTATTATGTTTATTAACATTTTGCATTCCACACCGTTTTAATTTTGGGGTGAGTTAGCATTTAAAGTAGCCTACATCGTCAATGGCAGAAAGAGAACACAATAGCCTACCTACATACATGCACTTAAATGAAGAGGAAAAGGGTAAATTCGGACTTTATAATTCGGTAATTTATAATAAAATTGTGTTCAGTCTTACCAAATTGCAGGAGTCCTGTGAGATACAGCAATAGTGGCAGGTGCCACAGTCGCCACCAAAAGTCCACCATCCTTAAACTGATCGTTCCTTCCGCCTTGTCCCTCATCTCTGCAGTTATACAGGTTTTAACAAGAGCGCCTAAACCTGATATATGTTCTTTGACGCAAGTGATTGTGACACACACAACGAACCTCTTTCACGTCTGTGAAAAATGTCATTGTAAGCTAACTGAAGAGATAGTCCAATTTCTCAGTAACATAAATGAAACAATATATATATATATATATATATATATATATACCTCCGTGAAGTTGGCCCCCCATACATATACATATATATATAATAATAATTATTATTTTGAATATTATCCTGAACCCATGAAAACACTTTAAAAGTGATAAGTAACCCAAAAATTATGTTATCATTTACTCATCTCTGTGTCCTTCCAAACCTGTATGACGTCCTTTACTGTGGAACACAAAATAAAATAATTGTAAAAATGTTGCAAACATGTCTACAGGGTAAGCTAAATATAGGCATGTGGACATATAACAATTTAAAAAAAGAAGAAGAAAAAAAAGTACCAGTCCTGTAAGAAGAAATCAGCAAAGAAAATGTTTAATGTTTAGATTATTTTAATGAATTGAACAAAAAAATCTCAAAAGATTTATTTTGTTACATTTGTGGTATAAAAAAATAATAATTAAAAGAAGTTCACAAAAAATAGTTGATTCTGGGTTTAATAAATGAAGGCATTACTACATATTATATGCAGCAAAGTGACATACTGGCACATACAGTATCTCTACCCTCCCACCTGCCCTATGCTTTTGAGGACAACGGCTTCTAAATTAGAGTAATTTTATCATGCCACAGATATCATTTTGGCAAAAAAAAGTTAAATAAATCATGACTAATATTTAGCTAAATAACATGATTATATACAATCCACTGGTATAAACAACATTTACAACAGAAAATATATTAAAAAGTCTTCATCATTTCTTCAGCATCCTCTCCTTCTATTCTTTTTGTTGGCCTTCAAGTTTTCATTTCAGTGGGACACTTGTCTCTGTTCCAAAACCTAGTGAGCTGCCTACCTGTCTGCTGCCTACATATCACATTGTTGTGGCAGATGAGTGATACACTGAGCAGACAAGAAGTGACTGTCAATATATTGTTTATGTCCGCTGAATTCTTTTACTGGCCAGCAGTCCACACCAATCCATTGTCCAATTGAGTTTGTCCATCTGTCTGAAGTAGACCTATAGTGGCCATTCACAAAGGATGTGTTTTTGTGTTCAATCTACCCTATTTCTAATAGTTGGTTTGTATACATATGCAGACAGACAGCTATAAAGACATTTCATGGAAAGTGTTATATATACAAGGGCATAATGATATGCTACTTATGCATATTTACATACATGTCAATTTCCTTAATGTAGTACAATTATATAAAATAAATTGTACAAAATTAATTGTTCTACATTAATATGACAGCCCTATTTCTTATGCTAACGTATTTGTATATTACTTCTCCACACCTTGTTCAAGCACATACTTCACCATCCTTTTCCACCCTCGAGTGTTTTCTGTCTCTTAGCTGACACTACTACCTTCACGTGGCTCTAGTTGACAGATTTTCTCTTCCTCTTTTACAGCTGATAAAACAGCCTTCCTCACTATAAACTTTATTATCACATTCTGTACAGTGTTTATTCAAATACTGTTCTCTGATTTCTGAACTATGATCTTCCTTCATTGCATGTTTTGAGAAGCTGTTGGTCTCGGTTTCGGCTTTCTTGTCCTCTGGCACAGATATGCCATTGTTGGTGTTGTCTGGATCGCTGTTCTTTACATCACAATCTTTTAAAAGTTTATTTTTTTCTCTCTCTTTAATTTCTGGAACATCGTTTTTCTCCTGCATGTTTTGTTCTGACTCACTGCTCTTGTCTGTCTGCTCACCATCATCATCATCATCTTCCTCTTGAGGGAAGAATGCAGTTGGTTTATTTTCTAATTCCATATTCAGGTTTGAAGACGGAACACTGATGTCCAGGTTAGACTGTGAATCTATAACAAAAAATAAACAAGATGAAAAACCTCATCTACTAATTCAAAATACTACTGACTAAATCAATATCAAACTTCTGAATATGAAGAAAAGGCAGAAACTAACCCAGAGGATCACTGGGAGCTGCACTATACAAAGGTGGATTACAAGGTTCAGCTAAAAAATGGGGAGCAAAACATATCAGATGAGATATTTATTTCTGCAGTGATTTCTCTAAAAGGTTTTGTTTCTCTGTATAAACATGATCTGTATTTTACCTATGTGTAGTCTACCTGTCACCTCGTGGTTTTCCTTTTCGGTTTTCTCTTCCTCCTCCTTTTCCCCTTCTGGCCTCTGCTCATCCTCATTAATAGATGTACATAGGCTCTTGTTCTGCTGCTCAATTGACTGTTCACCATTTTCATCTTGGCTGCTCTTCTCATTTGTGTGTAGTTGTTCTGCTACATTTCTTGTGTCCACTGTACTTCTTCCTGTCACAGCAGACTGTGGACTCACAATCTCATTTAAGGGGGTCTGAATACTTTCCGTACCCACTGTATATATACCATATATTCACACAGCTGTTGTCACACAATGTCCATGACTACCAAGCTCCAAAAAGGGGCAAAAAGCAGCATAAAATCACCATGAAAGTATGATAAAAGTTGTCTATACATCTCATGTGTTTTATTCAGTCTCCTGAAGCCATATGATTGATTGGTGTAATAAACAAGACTGAAATTTAAATAGTTTTTCACTAAAAATTCTCCAAAATGCTGCGGATCTCAATCAAATATGGCACTTCTTGATGAATGACATCAGGCTGGACACCCATGACATCATTAAACATCACTTACATCAAAACTGATGTCTGGTAGCAAATTTGACTTGAGATTGTCAGTGTACAATATTTAGGTCTGTTCATCATATAAAGATATCATATGGCTTGTAAAGGAAAAGTATGCACAAGCCACTTGAATCACTTTTATTAAATTTTAATTTTGATTGATCTATTTCTATATAAAAAAAAAAAAGACTCTACAAATCAGATGAAGAAAGCTTTAAAGCTCATTTAACGTCGATTTAAATACAAAGCAAGCAAAGTTTTGTTTTTCCAGAAAAGTTTATACCGGTAATCTGTATTTTACCTGTGTTCAGGCTGTCTATCTCTTCGTTTTCCTCTTCCTTTTCTTTTTTCTCTTCAGGTGTCTGGTCTTCCTCATTTTTATCTGCATCTTTAATGTCCTGCTCTCGTAGTGTCTCAATCTGCTCCTCAGGTGACTCCTCTTCATCTTCACTCTCATTTTTCAGTATCTGACTTTTCTCCTTTTCGTCTTGCGTTTGTAAGGATTTCTGGCTCTCTACTTCTGTGTCGGTTTCATCAGCTTTGCTGTTAGCGTTTTCTTCTGCTTCATCTGCATTTTCGCTGTTTTTCTGATTTTTTTCTAGTTCTCCTTCAGCTGTGCTTATAAATGAAAAGTACTGTCAGGAATTGGTCACTTGTTGCAAAGTCCAGCCTATTTAAAAGGCTCATCCAATCCTCAAATAAGAAGACCGGCTGCCATGCAAATTATACAGTATGCAAATATAGTTTGGTGAATTCCAGCTTCCAGGTGGAACCAAAAATGAAGTGCTTAGAGCCTTAGATGTTTGCCCCTTTGAAATCAATGGCTTAGCTATCCCTTAAACTTCAACTGAAGCAGATCACGAACAACACTTAATGAGGTATAACTTACATTTACAAAAACATTAAAATGCAGAGAACATTAATATATAAAGGGATTATATATACAATGACAAAATACAAGGAAGTCAGACTTTCTGCGCAGTCAACAAGCAACTGCTAACTAGAGATTCTAAAAGAAAAGAACTGCTATTTCTGCCTTATAAGACAATTCAAAATTATATAAATAAGGATGTATAATTTAAGCTAAAGTATATAATGCAAAATTTAATAACTTTAGTTTTGTACAAATAGAAAATCAAGCAAAGAAGAAATAGAAATTTTCAAAAAATTCCAAAGAGAGTACAAACTCTAATCCCACCATTTTCCAGACAAGCTGTATTTTACCTGTGTTCAGGCTGTCTATCTCTTCGTTTTCCTCTTCCTTCTCTTTTTTCTCTTCAGGTGTCTGGTCTTCCTCATTTTTATCTGCATCTTTAGTGTCCTGCTCTCCCAGTGACTCAATCTGCTCCTCAGGTGACTCCTCTTCATCTTCACTCTCATTTTTCAGTATCTGACTTTTCTCCTTTTCTTCTTGGATTTGTAAGGATTTCTGGCTCTCTACTTCTGTGTCTGTTTCATCAGCTTTGCTGTTAGCGTTTTCTTCTGCTTCATCTGCATTTTCGCTGTTTTTCTCATTTTTTTCAAGTTCTCCATTTGTATTTCCTGTGTCGTCTTTGTTTTTTTCTGTTATAGCAGATTGCGGACTTTCCTTCAAAAGTTTTTGTCCCTCATGAGTTTCACCTGCATTCTCCGATTCACTCTCCTGATCCCATTTTTTATCAGCAATAGATTCTTTCGGAGCAGTAAGTCTGGTACGGCAAGGGAGTGTGGCTTCAGATGAACCTAAAACAAACCACTCAGAGACCTTAACAACAGATTCAAGTGTCAACCTTGAAAGACATTCATTCTCAATAAGAGCTGAGAGTTTATAGTGATATTCAGCAACATGTGCAACAAATCTGATGTCAGCATATCTAATTACAATGTTATTACTAATAATGGCAAAAATAGTAAATCTTTTGTTACCTGGCATAGCCTCCGTTGGTACATTACTCAACAGGTTATCGCATTCACCTACATTAGTATAAAACATTTTTTTTTATAATACAAAAAAATCTTTAATTATATAAATGCTCATGCTCTATTAACTCTCTATTTGAGTGTTTAGAACACTCACTGTTCAGCTGTGCTTATAAATGAAAAGTACTGTCAGGAATTGGTCACTGCCAAGTCCTGCCTATTTAAATAACTCATCCAATCCTCAAATAATAAGACAGGCTAGTGAATTTCTTAGAGATGATTGAATTAAGCTGAAGTATATAACAAAAACTATATATAACTTTAGTTTTGTAGAAATAGTTGAAGTAGAAAGCAAAGAAGAAATATACATTTTCGAAAATTCTTATCTTACCATTTTCAAGGTCCATTTTTTTTAGTTCAGACTTCCCTACTTCTCGTGCATGTACATGACAAAAAGAAAATTATGTTAATCCATGTAATATAATCTTTGCGAGACATGGGTGTTAATTAAAGATGCATCTTGAAGGTGGTATGTTGAATATTTTTTCATGGCACTTACACTTTTGTTTTTTACGTCTGTAGAGGTAAAATGCCAGCACAGCAAGCAGAATAATGAGAAGCACTGTTACTATTAAGACTGGAACAAGCACAGCAGGGCTTTCTCTGCCTGCAACCAAAACCATTCAAGAAACAGCTTAAAGCATCTACCATCAAAGTCTCGAGGTACTGTGTTGAATGATTTACTAGCTCACCTGTGTGGCAGTCTTGCAGAGTAAAGTCTGTGGTCCTGCTTCCAGCTTTATTCTTCACAGTGCAGGTATAGACTGAGTTATGGTTTTCCTCCTGTTCATTAACAAGAAGTGTTGGGCCCAGCTGTTTTATAATAGGTCCACTCCATTCATAGCTTGGCTGAGTCTGGGATACCACTGAACAGGACAGTTTTTTAAAATGTGAAGTCTCATCCAGTTCACAGGTCACCTGAGGCTCCGGCAGAGCATCTAAGACACAGAAGCAGGCAGGTATTTAGTGATAATAAGCTGATATTTTGTCATTTTGAGATTATCAATCAACAATTAAAATTTACAAAACAAAAATGACATTTTCAGTGACTAATGTACTTTCTATGTTTAGTGTAATTTATTGTGTAAATTGAAATTAAATTGAAATACAGCTGATTTACACAATTCTCATTCCATACCACTTTCATACTAGCCACTGAAAAACCCATATCAGTTGACAATTAGATACAACACCTAAACTTTATGAATGCCACCATACAGTAGGTCTAAGTGCATGCTGGTCATGTCTTCTCCAATTTATAATAAAAATTATTTTTACACAGAATTTAGGAAGTCAAACAGTTCCTGATATATACAGTAAGGGGTCTATTCACAATAATCTACTGTAGGAGACTACTAGGCACTAATCTGCACATAATCATCTGAGATATATAGACAGTTTACCCAAAACTGTCAAATTATGACTGGAGATTTGAGCATTCCTATTGATCCAAATTTCAGACTGATATTTGCCACTGTCTTGGCTGTTTAGTTTTCTTATTGTGAGCTGTCCTGTTTCAAAATCAAGATCTACACGGTCTTTAAATGAGCCATATTTCGCCACCTCACTCCCATCATATTCCAGAACCTTGTTGCCATTATGTGTCCACAGTATTTCTTCAGGCCTTCCACGGATGCTTGGAGTAAGTGTGATCTTGTTTCCACTTTCGCCATAGTCATCGCAAAAAACTAAATCTAAAGCAGATGAAAAAAATCCCATTAGTGAAACAACTTCTTACACCCTGTGGGGGAATCTCAGAAAAAACATATCCGGGCCATATATCACAAACGATAAATACAAGACTTCATATTATGCTGAAAGATTATTAAGCGTGTTTAATAATCTATAGCAAAATACACTTGGACACAGTAATGTATTGAGTGACACTGATTGTCATTAATGTAATAAAGCAATCTCGACTGTATAACAGTAAAGGTGTTGTAATACAATGTTTGGAATTTGTCAAATTAAATTGAATAATAACAAGGAAACACCCACACACAATAGTTATTCCAGTTGTAAATAATCAAATTGTGCAAACTTAATATTGAAGTTAATATTCTTAAAGGGGTCATATGATGCGATTTCAAGTTTTCCTGGGCATAGAGGACCTACAATAATGTACAGTATTTGAAAATGAATGTGTTTTTTGAACATTAAAGCATGTCAACATATTCTGTTACACCAAATACACAAAATAATGATCTTTAAAAAAGCATCATATGACCCCTTTAATGGCATTTGATCTTCGTTTTGCAAAACATATAGGCTAATTACTTATTTAATTATTTTTATTTGGGGGTGAAGTATGACCTGGACATGTTCTTAGTTTGTTTCGTTAAATCAACAAGTTGCCACCCACAACAAACATAATATTGCCAACAAACAACAAATCAGTTTTTTTTTAAGAAATCACTATAATATTATCAATGGTTTTATATGCTTTATTTGTCTGTACAAAAGATCACAGAACAACTTCAGTATAAAGTTCAGTTAAAGTCCCTAATTCAAAGAGAGAATGCAGCAAAGTGTATACACGTTCAACTTTTAATCTTGTTATTCTGGCTTCAACAATGCCTTAATGTTACTCTATTATCTAACATAATTCTAAACCAACTCCACATTTTTTTAACTAAGCCTACAACTTATTAAAGAAATCCGTGAATGCCTGTTGTCGTTTCGACAATCCAGAAGTATCTGTTTCCCACACAGTTCACTGCACCTGGCGGGGCTAAAATAGGCAGTCTTTCATTGTATTACGAGTTACTTCACCTCCGCTCCATGTTTAAAAAGATTTCGGACTTACCTTGAGACAAACAGAAACATGTAACGTAAACCAAAAACTTCATAACTGCCATCTTCACTCGAGAGTGTTTTTTCTGTGTGTGAGGTGCTACTTAATGGCGATTTGAATTGAAACGTTAAACACATTTGCTGCATGAATCTCGACAGTCGAGGCTAAAAACCAGGACAATTAAACATTAAAAAGTTGCCACAGTGTTTTGAGGCAGTGAGAAAAGAAAGTTAAAAATCCCCGACGAAAAGTATCGAGCGACCTTTGAAATAGGCGGAGATAGAAGGTGAACGCACCTTTATAAGTGACACAAGCAGTAAACAATCAGGCTCCTGTTCCTGCTGGTGTGTTTTGGTACTTCTTCCATGGGAATATTCAAGCGACTAGGAAATATCACACACACACGCACACACACACAAAATGCATTATTAGCGAATAACAAATTTGTCAGATTGAGAACCTGCTGTTTGCTGGCAGTGATTTGAAAAAGTAGGCTATTATAAAATATTTTGAAATGTGTAAATATTAAACAAACAAATAAAAAACACATTTATTTATTTGTTTGTTTATCGTGGACTTTCTCTTGGGGTGGTCATGGACCTATGTGCCCTGTTTTTTAGGTGGTCATGGACCTATGTGTAGTATTTAAATATTAATATTTAAAATCATGACATGGAATCTACTACATTTCCAAACAATAACAAAAAATGTTCTCTCTCTCTTTTAGATGCCTTTTAAATGAAGAGAACATATTTAGTTCTCCATTTATATTTTTTTCTCAGAATATACAATAATTATATATATATATATATATATGTGTGTGTGTGTGTGTGTATGTATGTATGTATATACTGCCGTTCAAAAGTTTGGGATCAGTAAGATTTTTTATGTTTTTAAGGGAGTCTCTTCTGCTCATCAATGCTGTATTTATTCAAACAAAAATACAGGAAAAACAGTAATATTGTGAAATCTTATTGCAATTTCTAATATTGGTTTCCTATTTTAATATACTTTAAAATAGAATTTATTTCTGTGATGCAGCATCATACTGTCACATGATCCTTCAGAAATCATTCTAATATGATGATTTATTATCAGTGTTGAAACTGTTGTGCCGTTTCATATTGTTTTTTGGAAACTGTGATACTTTTTTCTTTGATTCTTTGATGAATACAAAGTTAAAAAGAACAGAATTTATTTAAAATAGAAATATTTTCTAACAATATAAGTCTTTACAATGACTTTTTATTCATTTAACACATCCCTCCTGAATAAATGTATTAATTTCTTTAAAAGAAAAGAAAGATAAAATGTACGTACCCCAAACTTTTGAATAGCATTGTATATTGTAACACAAAATTTCTTTTTTAAATAAATGCTGTTCTTTTTAACTTTTTATTAATCAGATAATAATAATAAAAATATCACAGGTCCCAAAAAAAAATAAAAAATGAAGCAGCACAACAGTTTCCAACATTGATTATAAATCAGCATATTAGAATGATTTCTGAAGGATCATGTGACACTGAAGACTGAAGTAATGATGCTGAAAATTCAGCTTTGATCACAGGAATAAATTATATTAAAAGTATATTAAAATAGAAAACTGTTATTTTAAATTGCAATAATATTTCACAAAATAACAATAATAAATAATATTTTTTTTCTGCATTTTTGATCAAATAGATACAGCCTTGATGAGCAGAAGAACCTTCTTTAAAAAACATAAAACATCTTACTTTTGACTGGCTTTTCAAACTTTTAACCGGCTATATATATATATATATATATATATATATATATATATT